TAAAGTAGAATTTGTCGCTCAACGTATAATTTTACATCTACACTCAAATATAGAGCTCAAGCTTGTCTTAATGTATATAGCACAAGATGAATATAAGTTAATGTTTAAACGAAAATTTGTTTATTGTTTCATTAATTTTGACATTATTGTTGTAAAATAGAATTAGTAATTATTTAAATTTTCTGAAAAATGCGTTATGTAATAAAAGATAACAATAAGATTATCATTGTAAAATAAAGTTGGCAACAATATAATTTTAGTGCGCTAAATGCATAGATGAAAAAAGTGTCATTGTCAAAAACAAAATTTTGCAATAAATGAAAAATCGTTGTATTGAATTTGTTGCAAGGATATGGACAGCAATGACAATTAGTGTTAAGAAACACATTTTTGCAACGAATTTTAGAGCTGTAAAATGCCAATTCTGTACTTGTAATTATTGTTGTTGTTGCTTTTATTATAGCAATTTTGCTTTCTGAGCAGAGTCATGGTTCACTGGCTAAACACTGGCAAAAAAATGTCAAAGACAGGTAAATGCAGTTTCTAGACTGGTTCTACTGTTGCTTCTTCGTTTGTCCTTGCCATAGTCTATTGAGAGACGTGTTGAAACTTTTTGCCTTCACCATTTATTTAATCTTTATTTTTTAAATATTTACGTAGCACCAGTCACAACTTTTACTTTTCTTCTTTATACTGACTGCAGTTCAATATTTTGCAGATTGGGGCCCGTTAGTTGACGTTGTTGGTTATTGTTTCTTAAATCTTGGGTCAAAGTATCAACCTCAAGAAGAGTTTATTCAGTGGATTAAGAAAGGACCACAACCTATATATATTGGTTTTGGAAGCATGGTATGCTGACCTAACTCAAACTGCATTGAATTAATTCACATGGTCAAATCAGACTCTCAGGTTAAGCATGCTGGCTGAAGTAAAGCTACATATGAACATTATAAAATTTTCTGTCAAATCATACCCTTTCATGTTATTATAGCTTTTGCTTCCTTGTATGCTTTATGAAAACCTTTAAGTCTCTGGATTTTTTTTCTCCTAAAAGAATTTATGAGTAAATTGAGTTAGATATATTATTAAGGTCAAATTAGTTTATCCTTTTGTCATTTGTGAAATTTTGCTCTGGTTGGGACTTGATTGATTAAATTTACCTATGATTCCTGTAACATTTTCGGCCAAGTGTAAGCACTCATTCATAGGATGAACTATGAGTCAATTATATAGTGTTCAAAAAGCTTCTTCTATACATGCAGAGACACACAGTGATACTAGACTTTTGATGACAGTTACCCGTGCATAATAATTTCTTGACATGTGACACCAACTATCAACTCAATTAATTCTTTAAGTATATAAACATTTCCTATCTACTTAAGTTTTGCAATAATTGATCACTAACTTAATAATATTTGTTGGATATATTTGTTTTAAAAATTATTTTCTAGGATATTTCAGATTTAATGAGCTCAAATTTTGACAGTTTCATTTATATTTAAACAACATTTAGCATGAGATAAGGACTTCATGAATATTTCGGATTTATGATTGTCTATGCTTAAGCCTGAAGAGCTTCTGATATGGACTTCATGTTTAAGCATATAAAATGCAAAGTTTAGAATAGATTTTGACATTTAGCCATGTTACTCCATATGTTTGATAGACATTTCAAAACTGTCCATGTTTGATGGAAAGCCTTTGTTCTGAAAAGTTAAGGAAAATGGACAATAAGGGTTGAATAACGGTCAGTTATAGTAGTATGGATACTATGATCTAGAGAGGGTACATATAAGATGAATTAATGATCTCAACTTTTCTGCACTGGTTACTTTATATATTTTCATCTGAAAATCTTCTTTCCTTTTTGCATGGGTTAACGCTTAAAGCTTTCTTCCATGAACAATGATAATTTGCTGTTCATAGCTCTCATATCCATGTTTAATGACACATTTTCTTTAGTTATGTTTTACATGTTTGATGATGAATCCTATTGTTAGCTAAGATTCTTCTTCCTGAATCTTTGGATAGCTTATAATTGTGAAGTACTATTTATTGTATTTTAGCCTCTTGATGATCCGAAGAAAACAACGGGTATTATATTGGAAGCATTGAAAGATACTGGGCAAAGGGGAATTGTTGGTCGAGGTTGGGGAGATCTAGGGAACCGTAAGTAAACTCATTTGCTTTACTGTTTCGGCTTTTTTCTTTTGATAGTAATTCTCTTGGCTTTCATGTCCTGTGATGTCTTCCAGATATCTTTAATTTTCAGTTTGATGCTCATTTTCTTATGCATTCATCCTTTTGTCAACTAAGGGCTGGTTGGACAGATTACTATTAACCATGGCTCTTATTCATTCACATGGCCTTTTTAAGAAGATTGTCATCTATATAGATGTGAATGGACCAGAACTTTTTGAATTATTGGAAGAAGATTTATCTTGTCATGTTTAGACTTTTATGTATAAGATGTGATTTAGACAAACATATCTGCAAAACCATCATCTGAAGAAGTGGTGACCACGTACAAATGAAATATGATCAAATTATTGGAAGAAAGTGAATTTGACAACATACCAACATGAAATCAGATGAGAGAATTGGACTTAAAAAACTTATTAACTTTCCTCAGTAAGATTATGGCTAGTTGCAGTGCCAGGATTAGAATCCCAAGTTTTGCAATCTAAAATACCATATAAACTCATATCATGACATGCCTCTACCTGGCTCTCCTGTCTCCCTCCTCAAAAAGTAGGAATAGAAAGGTCTAAAACCAATTCTTTGTGGTATACAATCTTTTTGAAGCTCCCTTTGGTACATTTTCATGATTTGCTTTCCCTAGAGTCTCTCTCTTCTCTCTCTTTCTTATCGTTTTTGTTGTTACATATATTTATCTTTATTTCACAGTTAAAATGCCTAGATGATTTGACAATTTAACATGTTTGCTTCATTTTGTGTTTCATTTTTAGAAAATTGCAGAACTACTGTTACAAATTAGTAAGAGATTTGTCTTGTTTTTCTTATAGTTGTGTTTCTTGTCTTACAGCAACTGAAGTTCCCGAGTATGCTTTCCTTTTGGAGGACTGCCCTCATGATTGGTTGTTTCCTCATTGTTCAGCTGTGGTGCGTTTGATTATATTCTTTCTAGCATCATCGTGGATGTAGTTAAACTAATGCTAGTATCTTTAGAATGTAAAATAATTGCTGGGACTGTTATACAATTTCCTAAATCTATTGTAAGAGTGAGATGAACGTAGAACATACAGATCTCTGTATGCCTGCAACCAGTATATTTGTTTCAGATACTGTTTGGTTATGTCCTCTAAAATATAATTTAAGTGGAAGTTATATTGCTGCAAACATGCAGGTTCATCATGGTGGCGCTGGAACGACAGCTGCTGGACTAAAAGCTGGGGTAATATTCTCTTTAGCTTCCATTTTTAATTCTGTGGATTACATGTTATAATATTATATGTGGCATTTCATTATGCTTGGGAAATGTCTTTTTCATTTAAAAGTTGTTGAAGCTTTTATAGAATTTCTTTTCGAAATAAAAAGAATGAATTACATTAACAGACACCAAGGGATGCTGATTTGTACCAAGATGTTAACAAAATCCCCAAAATCCTCCATAGAATAGAGAAAATGATCCAAAATAAAAAAGTTAAGGGTTTGGAACTATATGTTCCTAATTCTATCAAAATCCTCCGAATCATCAACCCCCTCAAAAGTTCTTTTATTTCTCTCGTCCCTTAGTACCCAGAAAATGGTGAGTGGAATAAAGTCCACAAATTTTCTATGTTGACTGATACTCTTCCACACGAAATTTCATCTCTGACCAAACCCGCCATTATCCAACCGATACCCAATAAACCATAGACCATCGGCCATAGCTTTTATGCTACTGGACACCATAAAAGAACATGACTACAAGTTTCTGTATCACCTTTACACAAGTAGCAATCATTCACCGTAGTCGTTCCCCTTCTCATCAATTTGTCAAAAGTCAAAATGCATTTCCTTCCGGCGTCCGACGCAAAGAAAGCCACTTTAGAAGGAGCTTTAACCTTCCAAATCTGTGAAAGTGGAAACTTTGTTAACTCTGAAATAGCATTATCTAGACTTCTAGTGGTTGTTAAAAATTCAATTGTTTCTTATAATCCTGTTCACCATTGACTGGTAGATTTGATTAACTTGAATTTATGAATGACAGTGTCCAACAACAATTGTGCCATTTTTTGGGGATCAGTTCTTCTGGGGCGATAGGATACATCAGAAAGGTCTGGGACCTGCACCTATTTCAATATCTCAGCTCAGCGTTGAGAACCTTTCAAATGCCATAAAATTTATGCTTCAACCAGAGGTAATTGTGACAAATAATGCAACCTTCATCTGTCATCTTTGTGGTAATTAAAGCATAATCATGCCCTAATCAGAGTGTTACTTGTTTCTGTGTGTATTGTTTTTTTTTAACACAAAAAGCATACTATTCAGCTTAACACATAGTACTAGTGATGTCCGACTTTTATAGAATTGTACTTGTACTAATCCAAGAATACATTGTATCTGAGAAAATTGCTTTTTGGGAGAAGAGTGTTTAATGTATTCTTCCATAAGGGTGTAACTATGATTCCATTTAGTTGCATTTTGGAGATGCACCCATATTTAGAATCAGGGAAAATTGGGGGGAGGAATGTTGGGTATGGAGAAGATGTCTGGTTGACTTTTGCTGAGGGGTGCAACCATGTGTCCTTGAAGTTGCATTCTGAGTATGTTTTAGAAACTTAAGTCCAGAAAATGAAGGGATGCGAAGGATGATTTAGGCTGGGGGAAAATTGTGTTCCCCAAGTTTTTTTGTCTTTAGTACGAAAAACTGTGATTTGAAGTATAATTGGAATTAAGTTTTAAGCTTTCACAGGTTAGAAGCTGAGGAGTATGCAAAACCAGTTTTACTTAATAGGACATAAGAGAGTGCATACAATAACCTACTATATGGTTTTGGGTTTATGTTATTATTAAGCTAAGTACGAATCTTGGAGCACAAGGGCAAGCAGCATGTGGTATTGGGGATGGGTCTAAGTAGAGCATTCATCAGCATATTCAGTGCTCCTTAGTTTATGAGTGTCCAAAATGGTGAACCTGGAAAAGTAGATGATTTATCAGAGAAAGCATATTGTTTTGATGTTCTTTTCGTACTTGTTTGCCATTTATGGTAATTTTATACTTCTGCTTCCCACCTCCGTTAATCACGTGCTTTGCTTTATGTTCTGCAATAAAATAGTTAGCTAGGTTTTCCATCCTTGATGGAACTTTGGTCCTTGCAGGTTAAGTCTCGAGCTATGGAAATAGCAAAGTTGATAGAGAATGAAGATGGTGTTGCAGCTGCAGTTGATGCATTTCATAGGCATTTACCACCAGAGATACCAATCCCGGTGGCATCTTCTGATGAAGATGACCATATAAACCCCTTGCAGTGGTTTTTTCTTCAAATTGGAAAGCGATGCTGCCTTCCTTGTGGTGGTGTGTAAAGTTTTCGTTCATAAAAACTCTCTTTTTTTAAGTATCCTTTTATTCGAGATCTTTATATCAACCAATTCTTTCATTTCATTGATCTTTGTCTCTTTGAGTTTACAAATATGCATGCTAGCTAGAAATAGAGATCTCTTCCACAGAATGTATTACATGAGGACATGTTTTGTTTTTTGTGTGTTTAGTAAAGCAATAAATATTGAGCAGAAAACGCTAATGAGCTAAGTTTTGTCCTTAAGATCTGTAGATGTGCTTTTTTTTCACCTTATTTAAAGCTTTTACACTTCCCTTCAACTTAGCTTTTGGACTTGTGAAATATGTTACTGCATGGAAGAGAACACTAGTCTGTTCAGCATTTCTATAGATAAATAGCTTTTAGTTTGTTCAACATTTCTTAAGATTTTTATGGTACTAAAATTTTGAGGATCTTATTAGATGAATGCTAGGCTATGTTTGGAACAAATAGATTTTTGTTTGTGGAATTTGTTTACAACTGTATTTTTCTTTTTTGAACTAGTGGAAGTTGGAGGTTTCTAGAAAACAATGACAGAAATTTAAGTTTATAGACAATTTCAAGTAAAATTAAGATACTATATTTGAAATGAATTTAAAAGATAAGTCTCATTTGATTTTAATATTTCATAGTGAGAAGCTTTCTGACCTGCGAAACCTATTTAAATTCCCTGCTTTGAAGAAAACAAAAGATGATTAACCTGGTTTTCTGCCCCTGAATCTGCTCTTCAATATTTCACAGTTTAGCTGTCACTCAGGGGTATTGTCTTTTGCTTGAATCTGTATATGAGTTTAGGGGAATCACACTCTTAACTAGCTATTAATGTGAGAGAGTGCAAACTCATATAGATCTCACACCAAAGTCACGAGCCTTGGATGTGAGATCCAAGTTATTTTACCACATAACAGTGATATCAGAGCCAACTACCACTTTTCTGAGTTACAATCATGAGGTGCAGATGGCTATGTTATAATTGCAGTGTTCGCCGGAGATTAGTTGAGGAAAGCTAGTGCGAAGCCAGCTTCTGTGGGCGCTGGATGAATTATTATATGGTAAAATAACTTGGATCCTATATAGAAAGTGCACGATTTTGATATGAGGTTTACATGAGTTTGGACTCTTTGATCTTAATAAGTTGCTTTGAGGGTGTGGGTTATAGTACTTTTATTCTTTGTAATTGACATGAATTTTCATGGACTCTGTTGTTGGCAAGATCAAGCCTGTCATAGTCAAAATGTCAAAGATAAGCATGATTTCTATTGAGGTCTGAGTAGTTGAGTCGTCATTACAACTTGGTTTTTTTTAGTGATAGGCATATCTTCTAGTTAGCTTTCGGGTGGCGAGATATATTTATTTTTTAAAATGATCTAAGACAGGTGCCTTGTATCAACTGAATCTAGAAAAAAGTTTTCTTCATGTTATCTGAAAGAAATAAATTTAGGGGATTTTTGGATCAATCTTTTGGACTAAAAGAGTAAGATGAGAAGTATTTTTGATAATAATTGAAATTATAATTTAATTTTGATTGATTGAAAGTAAAACATTATAGTGTAATGTTTAGAAAATAATTTAAACTTTTATTAAGAATTTATATTTAAAAATTTAGAAGTTAGTTTCACTAAATACGCAATTTTTATTTTTTTAAATTATGAATACTTTATATGTTATTTTTATGAATTTAAAAAATTAATTAAAAATATCTTTAATAAATAATTATTTTATTCTCAATTGAATTTGTTTTTATTGAGAATATTTGTAAGTACATAACAATTAGAGAATATCTTATTGGCGATGGAAATAACATTTTTACTTTTAAAGTAAATAAAATCCCTAATTTATAATTTGTTTTTAGGAACTTGTTAGATCTTTAAATTCATTGTAAACGTGGTAGTTGAGTTTATAAAATTATTAAATCATTATTTCTTGAAAACCAACTCACTTGGTTTTTTAATTATCCCCCCCAATATAACAAATGTTTATGTAATTTACTACTTTTTAAATTTAAAAATATTTTATTCATAATAGACTGAATTGAAATTCGAATTACGAAAAAAAATTAAAAATAAATTTTATTGATCAACTAAAGATTTGGATTATGAATCAAAAATGTATTTTTTTTAATTGAGAATCAAATTGAATATAAGCCATCTAATAGAATATATCATTATTACATATATGTTTTAATTTTTTCAAAGAAATATATAATTATAGATAATCAAATAGGTATTTATTTTTAGAGCAAGTTTTATACATATTATATTTTATAAGTAAATAAAGATATATTCATTAAAATATTTGATTGAAATTAATTGAGTGAATCATGAAAGTTATCCTGAATTTGAAGACACGCTTATGATTTATCATAGACCGAAATTAACCAATACAATTTGAATTTATAAATTGTAAAATTTAATTACTCATGTCAAAATTTATCGACAATTATTTATAAAATTGGTATTAAAAATATTGTATAAAGGCATGTGATAAATGAAAAAGATGGTTTTCGATACATAATCGGGTTTTACTCTTGCTATTGGATTACAAACTCTTAACATATTTGATTGTTGCTTTGTACTAAAGCAAGATAACAATATAACTCTCTAAATAATATTTTAGAAAATTTTTATCTTAATTAAAATTATGTAAGAGAATTTGTTACATTATGTCACATAAGCTATAAACAATCACTCAACATGTATGACTTAGTATAAATACAAATACGATATAGTATAAGACAAATTTTTTTTATAGATAAAGTACGATTTAGAATTAAAATAATGCAAGAACAACTTAATTTTAAGATATTATTTTAGTTTAAAAAAAAATACGTATAATTAATTAAAACTTTCATTCAATTAATTTTTTTATAATTTATTTATTTTTAATTTCTTAATTAAATTAAAATTTAAAAAATCAAAATTATTATTATATATTGGGTTCACATATAAAACACAATACAAAATATTGTTTTTATAATATTATGGTGAAATTCATACATCTAATTAACGATTTATAATTGAACAAACACAATAAAAAAATCTTTACTAAAAAAAATTAGAAATTAGCAAAAAAATTTATGCAAATGGAAGATAAGTTTAAATTAATAAATGAAACACAAAAAAAAAAAAGAAAAAAAGAAAAAAGAAAAAATAAATTTCTGGTCTTCCACAGTTTGACGTAAATAAACCCTTGGATTTACTTGTGTACAAGTAATAACTCACTTTCTATATAACCTTCCATTTATATCCTAACAAACCAACAACAGGGAGCCAGTCACCTTCCTCTCCTCTCTTTTCTTTCTGCCACGACCACCGCCGCCGTCACCATGATGTGGTCACCGGCGGTGAGAAGAGGTGGCTTGGGGATGGCGGCGATTTCCTATGTGGCAATAGACTATCTCCGTTACCTGTCTCCCGCCTGGCACGCGCCTCTGCAGCCGGCTCTCTGGTTCCTCCTCGCTCTTCTGGCGATCACACGTGTTCCTTTCTACAAACATTGGAACTCTGAGATACGCGCGGCTATTCCCTTTGTTTTGTCCATGGTTTTCATGCTCTCTGCTCTTCTCTTTGAAGCTCTCTCAGTTCGCTTCGTCACGGCAGTTCTTGGCCTGGACTGGCACCGGTATCTTCTTCTTCTTCTTCTCTCTCTCTCTCTCATCAATATTGCATTTTCTTCTTCTTGTTTGAAATGGTTAGTTTTCTGTTAGGTTTTATGCATTGCTTTTCCCGATATTTTTATCCCTTAATATTATCTGAGTTTGACTTTTTTATTTTTATTTTTAAATATACTGAATGGATCAAGTTTGATTGAGTTCATTGAACTTGTACCTGTATTTTTGCTATTGTTACTGCTTTTGAGGCGAGATTGAGTGATAGAGATGGTGAATCAGGCGAAATGTGAAACAAGTTTGGTTGACGAGTTCTTTTTTAGCTTAGTATTTATGGATTGTAAAAAATGGACTCAGATCTGATGTTCATGTCCAGCTTTGTACTGAAGATTGGCAAGGTTGTTTGGCTAAGTTTTAATTTGATAATATATACTTGGTAAATGGTTAGGAGGAGAAAAAGTTTCCAGGCTTTGATAGTTTTTAATTGATTGTTTGAATGTTGTCAATGAAGGTCCAGATTAGAAGGAAAAAAAAATCTAAGATGCATACAGTTGCTAGTGATAGTAGTAGTAAGTTCTTAGGTGTACAGGAGTACAAATCATTATTTTAATAAAATTGTGGCCTTGTTCAGATACTATTGTTGACGGTTTTTAATGTTTTTCATCCAGCATACTATTTTTAGAATACTTTGCTAAATTTTTTTTATGAATTCTCATGTTCAATAATTATTTATAAATGGCTTTATTTTCTAAATTACTTAATGTTGCCTCATATATTCCTGGCTACTTTGTAGTAATACAACATGTACTTGGCTAATTTATAAAAGGGAAGAATTTTGTTTTCAAGTGGTAGAAAAACATTGGAGTAGGTTAATCAGATGCTAAGCCTACAGTAAATATTGATTGGAAATTCTGCTGTAAAAGACAAGTAAACTGCCTGCTTAGGGCAGGAAGACCCTTTTTATTTTCATGCTTTAGATATTGTCAGCCTGTAAAGTGTCTAAGCCTAATGCTCCTACCTTTTATCTCAATAGAACATCTCGGCTGAGATTAGGAAGACAAGGTAAAAGGAGGTGCATTATCGAGAGAGCAAGGCAAGAAGTGAATTATGAGAAGTGAAAACTTGCATTCTTTCTGTTCTTTCTGTAATGCTCCTATGAAACAGTGTCAAGCCTGTAAGAGCTTCAAGGGAAAACCATAGATGACCTCATCATAAGTGGTGGTTGAATTGCTTTGTTTTGTCTCTCAAAGGAGCTGAAACAGAAGAACTCCACAGAAAGTGCAGCATTTTAGGAGTTCCCAATTGCCAATAGCCATGCACTTGTATTGTAATTCTGAACCATATACTTGTAGTACACAAGTTATTATTATTATTATATTGATCATTTAGATGGCTAAGTTAAAAATTTTACTTTCCTTAAAAAGGGATATGGCTGAAAATAATTGGTCGTCGTGACATTGTAATTGCTTTCAGTACCTCCTCTCAGCCACCATGTATTGATATTTGACAGCTACTGGGTTCTGCAACCTGTGCATGGCTGACATGTGTCATGTGGCTGTAATTCATCACTGGTGGAGAGTTCTAGGCCCTGGGCATAGTTACATATAGGCAGGGCAATTGTGCTCAATTGAATATATGAACAAGCTTTAGTAGCTTCATTTTTGTTACTAATATATGCAATTGGCTTGAGAAAGCTCCATTTTTGTTTACTAATATGTTCATTTGGCTTGAAAAAATTTTCTTCTTTGTTTAGTAATATGTGCAATTGGCTTGACAATTCTTTGTATATCTTCTTAGTGCACATATATAATGGGGTCTTATAGATAACAGTTCAGTCTACTAATCGATTAGTGTTGATGTTGCATCAGATTTATGGGTGTTTCTCAGTGATCAGTTGCATGATCCTGACACATACCATGGTAACGATGCAGTATGCTTGCAGGAATGTTGGCCACAAATTTTTTTTCCCCATTTTGAATGTCATTTATCATTTCTTTTTAGGCTTTATAATGGAGCATCATCATTGAGCATCACTATCCTTATTAAAATATTTGTTGATTTTGTTTATAGAAATCTTTGAAGACTTACAATAACACTATGATGTGTCAACCAAGAATCTACATATTCTTAACATAGGTGTTTGATCAAGATCTTCTCCCAAATGATTTCATCTTTTGAATATATCTGCACATTAGAAAGATCATTGATTTTGTTGTTAATATCTTTGACAGTGATACGAAGCCTCTTCCTGACACTGGCCAGTGGTTGCTCCTGGCATTAAATGAGCGACTTCCCGAAGCAGTAGTCGAGATATTAAGAGCTCATATTATTGGACTGCACCATTTCCTTATGTTGTTTATGATGCTTGCTTTCTCTGTATTGTTTGACTCTGTAAAAGCTCCTGGCCTTGGGCTGGGGGCACGGTACATGTTCACCATGGCAATTGGCCGTCTTCTTCGTGCTATGACTTTTGTATCTACAATTTTACCATCAGCCCGACCATGGTGTGCATCAGTTCGATTTAGAGTTCCTGGATATCCTCACCGTTGGGCACAGAAATATTATGTTCCTTATGCCTCTGAGGCTGATGCTATCCGTCAATTAATAAACCGGGATATTGCATATGGTATGTTCTGCACATGTGCATGTTGGCTACCCTTAGACAACTGCTATGATGGATTCCTTGTATAGAGATTCAAGATGTTTTGTCATCTTTCTTGCAAGATATTGTTATGAATTACCTAAACCTTTTGAAAAAACTTTTCTCTGTTTATGGATGTTATGTGTGTCCTCATTGTTGCTGAAAATTGCACCCATGTTTGTGCTTTCTCTTTTCCAGTTGATACCGGAAATTATGTTGGTGATTACCGTCCAGACTGGGGTGTAATGAGCTTCCTCATTGATTTTCTGAGACCCAATCATGGAGAAGGATCTACATGGTACAGTGTCCTAAAAAAAGCTGGCGGTGGCTGCAATGACCTCCTTTATAGTGGTCACATGCTTGTTGCTGTACTAACAGCTATGGCCTGGACGGTACTTCTATTACGTATTTGTAATTTGTAATCCAATTTTATAAGAGAAAAGTTGTTAAAGTGACATTTTCTGGTGATTGTGAGGATGAGTTGTTGAATCATGTCAATCTTTCTTTCCATGGTAAAATTGATGCAGGAGGCATATGGAGGTTTTAGCTCAGCTATTATTTGGCTGCTTGTGATGCACAGTGCTCAGAGAGAAATACGAGAACGCCACCACTATACTGTAGACTGTGTCGTGGCCATTTACGTGGGCATCCTCCTTTGGAAGATGACAGGTTTTATTTGGTCAAACATTGATGCAAGAAGTGGAAGACGGCTTTCAAAACTTGAGAAGATCCAAAATAGATTGATTCAAGCTGCAAAAGATTCTGACATGGATGAGGTTAGGGAGCTACTCAAAGACATTGATATGAGCAGCGAAGAGAGCCAGAAGAAAGGTTCAAACCGTGCAGTATGGTTTTTTGCTTGTGTGACAATGTTCTCAGCCCTTACCATGGTTCTTCTGGCCTTCACCTTGACCAGTGATGGATAGCTATTTCTTGCATTGACTTCCTGCCATGGTTTTGAAGGTGAGATGTTGTATTTTAATGTAATGTCATGTTTTTAGCATAGATTTCTTCGATTTTGTGTTTATTCTTAGGAAGTTTGTGTGAAGGTCCAAGCACAAAATCTATAGGTTTTGACATATATATACAAGAAGGGCCAGATGAATTAATACTGTTTGGTTATTGGTTATGGTCTCACAGTTCATGTCTGCTGAAAATCACTCCAACGTGACCATTTCCCTGAACTTGTATTGCTAGCTTTAGAACTGATATATTTTTTTTATCAAAACTTTCACAAGAATCAGAGATGATGTGTTGTAGTTTAATATGATCTTGAACTTTCTTCTGTTCTTTTTAGTCTATGAAAATTCTCTTAACCTACATTTGATAACCTGTCAATTGGTATGATTCTTTAGCAAACCACAATATATATATATATACAGATATATCAACTGAAGCTAATATATTATGCATATTTCAGTAGTAAACAGAGATGCTGACATGTTTAACAAAATAGGCAGTAGCTTGGCTTGGCAAACAAGTGCTTAACTCCTGGCATTATGAGGCCTAACTGCTCACTCAGACATTAGGCATTTTCTCATCAGGCAACCCCCAGTTAAAGCAGTGAACCAACCATGCTATAGCGAGTTGAACGCTAACCAGACCCAACTGCATTCCTAGGCATCCTCTCCGACCTGCTCCAAATGGAATAAGTCTAAAATCATGTCCTCGGATATCCACATTGACATTGTTGCTTCCAGAAGATCTCTCTGGTATAAATTTTCAAAATTTTCCGAGCATACTTGTGGATCTTGACCCATTGCCAGAGATTTACCATCACCATTGATTTCTTCAGTATAAAATGTGCATGGATAGTTATATCTTCCATGGATTCATGTACCAAGAAAGGTCCAACAGAGTGTAGCCAAAAAGTTTTCTTTATAACCATGTCCAAATAAGTTAGCTTGTCCAGATCTGTCTCTTTCACCATGATGGATGAGATGCAGCCTAGCCTTATGTACATGATGAGGCCGTAGGTTTTGGCTAAATGGGTGAGAGTTCGGTGTGGGAGTTTGTCTGTCAGCATGTGGAGGTGACGGATGATGGGTAAGGCTGGAGAAGCTGGCTGAAGCTTTTCACCATCTCTGTTTCGACTTGGGTGGCGGAGAATGAGATCCAATTAGAAGAAGAATCCCAGGAGGATGAAGAATATGGCGATGGTGATAGATGAATGACATATTTGGGTTGCAGAGACTCTGAAAACAGAGAAGCCACATGTAGAAGCTTACCATATATCCACGTTTTATATATATGGTTGTTAGTATCGGCTGACTTATGGTTATTGTCTAACACACACTATGTAGTATATATCTATATTGATAATATTGATCAATACAGGATAAACATATGCCAGCTTACTGCTCTTAATGTATGGCTAATATATCAAATTTTTCTTTGTATATGAAAGTATCTTTTACTTATACCTACACACACACACACACACGCACACACACACACACACACACACACACACGCACACACACACACACACACACACACACATATTTAAGTGCATTATATAGTGAAGTTCTGCAATTGTAGATCTTTCAATTACAACACAAATACTGATGTAGGTAGAAACATATATATGTTTTAACAAAGCAAGCGATAGGTTGGCTTGGCGAACAAGTGATTAGCTCTGTGCAGCACCAGGTTCATTTGCTCAGTCATGTCCAAATCCTTGGGCAACATGCCATCAGGTAGTTCCCAATTAAAGCAATGAACCAATTGTGCTATAATCAATTGAACATTTGTTAAACCTAATTGCATCCCAGGACACCCTCTCCGTCCGGATCCAAATGGAAGAAGTCTAAAATCATGTCCTCGGAGGTCAACTCCTTCACTCCTGGCAAATCTCTCCGGGATAAATTCCTCCGCATTGTCTGACCACACCATCGGATCTCGACCAATAGCCCAAACATTGATCATAACTCTTGACTTCTTCGGTATATAATATCCATTGATGATTATATCTTCCATGGATTCATGCAAAAGTAAAGCTCCAACTGGGTGCAATCTAAAGCTTTCTTTTATAACCATGTCTAAATAAGTCAACTTGTTTAAATCTGTTTCTTCTACCATTCTTTGCTTTCCAACTATGTTGTCTAGCTCTTTTTGAAGACGCGACATTGTTTTTGGATGCCTTAAAAGTTCCGATAAACACCACTCGATGATCGTTTTAGAAGTGTCGAATGCTCCCGCAATCATGTCGAGTAATATTGCTTTCATGTTTGCTTTATACATTTTATATGACTGCTGCTGCTCATCATCATTTTGATTATCCAATAATGAAAGCATTACATCAATAAAATCCATCTTCTCTTTTCGTTTTATACTTTTGTTTTCTTCATGCTCCCCTATAATTTTATCTAGAGCTTCCTCAATACGTTTACTTATTGCCTTCGATCGTCCTCTCAATCCCTGTTTTTAAATAAAAATACGTAGAAAATAAAATCATGTATATCTATATCGATATATACATAAAATATAAATATTTAAAGAATTATATATTATTATAGTATATAAATATTTAAAGGACTATATATTGTTATAGTTTTTGACGTTGACGAAAGAAAAACAACAATGCAAATTAATATTAAAAACTTCCCGGACAGGCTATATCTACATATAAATATATATAACATCATCAATGTATTTCTTAAAACTTTGTAGTATAATATATATATATATTCGATGTTATCTAATGACATTTAAATGTATCATAATATGTTATTTATTCATGTCAATTCGTGGGGTTTTGACAATAGCTCTCAACTCCAAACACATGAATATTGTACAGGCCAATTGGTGACAACAATATAATACATATGTTATTTATGTATAACATCATCGATATATTTCCTAAATCTTTCTAGCTATCATATATATATATATATAGATATTCGATATTATCTAATGGCATTTAAATGTATCATAATATGTTATTTAATCATGTCAATCCATGGGGTTTTGACAAGAGCTCTCAAGTTAACTCCAAGCACATGAAGATTCTACAAGACAATTGGTGGCAACAATAATATATATATGTTAAATTTTCATTTTAATGTTATTAGCTTGAATCGTCTACTATTATTTACATATAATTTACATTATTAAATTATTTAACATAAAATTTGATGAATACATGATAAAACTTTTGACGCACTAGCTATCCAAAAAGAGTTTTACAGCTTTTGTATATATATATATATATATATAAATGTGTATATATCAAACTATTAATTAATATTATAATAATAAAGAATGTGAATAATAGAAAGCTTTTTCTTAGAGGAGGCCATTTGTGTGTTTAGAGCAAATCTTGATGGTGTAAATTGATTGTTTCAGAAGTACTTATTATATGTGCTTATAGAATCAAACACGATTTCAGAAACAAATTAGACATGCTAATGGTAAAGAGATATATAGAAAAACATATACATATATATAAACACATATACAAATACCAACATGTTACATACCTGAAGATCAAACGGAGCAAGAACTGGGAGAAAATCTGCAATATTAAGAGCTCCAGCCAAGGCCATAATTTCATGAATAATTCCCTTTAAATCAAATCTATCATCTTTATCTCTCCCTAAAACCATTCTGAACGTCATCTTCTCCCCAACTTCACCAACTTTCTCGCTAACATCCACCACCTTCTTCTCCGCCGCCTCCTCCTTCACCAACTCCACCATCTTCCTCACCTCCACCCTCCTCATTCCACCAAACATCTCCACTTTCGACGCACTCAACAATTGCAGAGTGCACAGCTTCCTCGCGTTTCGCCAGTACGCGCCGTACTCCGCAAAGGTCACGCCTTTTCCATCGGAGATTATCTCCGTTGTCCGGACTCTCGGCCGGCTGGCGAAAACGGTGTCGTGGGTCTTGAGAACGAGCTCAGCGGTTTCGGGAGATGAAACGACGACGCATGGGACAAGGCCGAGCCGGATTGACATGAGGGGGCCGTACGCTTTGGCTAAGTTAGCGAGAGTGCGGTGGGGGAGCTTCTTGCCGGCGGCGAGAGTGTGGAGGTTTCCGATTATGGGTAAGGGCCGAGGACCTGGTGGGAGGTTTTGATCTTGTTTGATGTGTTTTGGGTGGCGGAGAAGTGAGCAAAGGGATGCTAGGAGAATCAGAAAAATGGCGACTGCTGCTAGCGTTGAAGGACACATTTTGTTCCAGTGCCTGCTTGATCAGACTGAGATGGCAACAAATTGAATTTGTATACATACATACATACATACATATATATATATAAATATGGGCATATATACACGTTGTTTAAAATATGTATAATGACCTTTAATTTTATTTATTACCATTATTAATCAAACTTAGCTCTTTGGTAAATTATTTCCTTTACAAAAGATTAAGGGTGTGTTCACGGGTATTTTCATTTAATTTTTATTTTATTATGATTATTATATAATTAATAGACATAAAAATTTAATACAAAATTAGTTATGATATGATAAATTAAATGTAATATCCGGACCCTAAATTAAAAGGATATGTAAATAAATAAATAAAATTAGGATTTGGGATCTAAATAAAAGAAATTTTAGTAATTAAGAGGTTTTTATTAATTTTAAGGATCTAAATGAAAATAAGTAAGAAAAAGAGAGTAAAAACATAATTAAATAGAAATAGAGGGGACAAAAAGAAATCAGAAGATGGACGGTCCTGATCGAACCGTCTGAAGGATTTGACGAGTGGAATTTTATTCGGTTTAAACGGTCCCAAATTGAACCTTACAAGATCCAACAGCCAAGGAAACGAGTATTTAAGGAAACAATTAGGGTTTCCTTCTTCATTCTGAAAAGAGAAGCCGAAATGAGAGAGAGGAGGAGAGGAGCCGATTGGACGAGAGAGGAGGCCGAGATTGAGGAAGATTCGGGCCGAGAAGGAGAAGGGAATACCGCGCGAGGGAGAGACGAGCAAGGAAACTCGAAGGAGAGAAAGAAATGCAACCGAAGAAGAGAGGAGGAGGTATCGGAGGCGGAAAGTCAAAGGCAAGGGAAGGAAAGGGAATCATGGCTGAGAAACATTGTGTCGAAGGCGAAATCTGAAGCTGAGCTGCACGCAACATCGGTGTCTAAAAAATTTATAAGTTTCGTCCTTTCCATCTCTAATTTTCGAGAATCCCTTTTCCTATTTCACACTAACCGACATGTTGGTGTAAAGTCCATTATCCAAACTTTAAAGCAAGCGAGGAGTGTTAGCTAGGAACCAAGAAGACCATCCTCGAAGTTGAACCCGAGGCTGTTTGGGTTTTTGGAGCACCGCACCCGAGCCAAGTGCGTTCCTTTTCCTCTTTCAGTGTGTGTTTTTAAAGAAATGGGTATTCATGTGTGTGTGTGTGCAGGTTCGTGAGCTAGAGCACTCGCCTCACCATGGTGAGTGTGAGGGTCTTCTCGAAAAAATTGGAACGCATCTCCAGTAGTGTAGATCAGGAAAAGTGAGGCTGTTTGGCCTTCATAACACCAAACTGAAGCAGATGACCATTCGTTTCCTTTTTCATTGTAGAATTTTAGGTGATGTCGGATGCTAATACATATGTATGTCTATACGTATAGGTTTTGGAGTAAATCGCCCACACCTACACAGGAAGCTGAAGTGGTGGTTTGCCAAATATTGAAGAATGAACTTGTTGTGGTAATTACCTGAAACGACCACTACTAGTAGTTTTTTAAGAGTTTAATACATTTTCGTCAATTAAATCTGATTATACTTATGTATGGTGATTCTAGGCCGTTGATTAGGTGGAATACAATCCGTTGAAGGACTTTGGTAAGTATTTCCTTATTTCAGACCTGGATTGAGATTTTAAAGGCATATGCATAGATATTCTTAAATTTGTGTATGTTTTAATATAGAACAGATACTGACTTGATTTCTTGATGAATAATAAAACATGGATCTATGACAAGTGAACCCTAATTTGTTTGGAAATTATGAGGAGACGGAAAACCATAAAAAAATCAAGGACTGATGAATGTTTGAAATTGTAATAAGAAATAAATTATAATTGAAAAAGAAACCACCCACAAAGTGAAAGGTTGAGGAAAGGAAAAGAAAAGAACGCAAGAAACCAAATAAAAGTAGAAATGAATTAATTATGGGTACGAAATAAATTTACTTAAATAATACTTAAAAGAAAAATAGAATAAAAGGGAAGTAAATAAGAAATTAAAAAAGAGGTGATGAGTGAATTATGGACTCTAAAGACTTTCTCATTTAGTTTGAATCTAGAAGAGGAGTGTGTGTGTGTGATTGAAGTTCAATGGGCATGATGAACCTGCATATGGATGGAGTTTGAAACTTAATCCTGAATAGGTGTTTGTGAGTGTAGGTCACATAACAAACATAATTGCCTTGACAAATGTGAGATTTTGTGTGTGCTATTCACTCGATGGGAATATTTATTTTGCCTCTCCTCAACAATAACATAAACGGTATTGCACAATGAAACTCTAAAAATGACTTTCTGAGTGTATATATGTTCTTGTAAGTGTCTGTAATGATTTTTCGAGACTATAAATGATATTTGAGTGAAATTAAAAAATTCGATCAGAAACATGAAATTAGAATGTCCAAAACAAATGTATTTAATAACTAAATTCTGATTTACAAAATTGTGAAAGTTATAAATAAATTTTGCATTGAAAACATTACAACTTCATCTGTTCCATATTGTGTATTTTTACTTGAGGTTTTATATGAGTTTGTAAGAATGAAAATACTTATAATGAGTTGGTGAAACGTATTAAATTTTAACATGATATTTTTTGTAGGAGAAAGAAGAGTCAGAATTGTTACCGGATGAGTAGAATTTTTGAAAGTGTTCTGGTTCATCTATATTTTATTCATATTCTAAAAATTTTCATTTTATTTTGTTTTATTCTAAATTTTGACCTTATATTCTATATATATAATTGTTGTATATATCACATTGGATAATATGTTTTATGTTAAATTTTTGAGCTATACATATGCATATTTTGTAGCTATACATATACATATGAAAATAAAATGAGTAGGAATCTCACCTCATTATCAAGTTCTGGGGTGTGACAATAAATATAAAAGATAGTTTATCAAAAAAATAATATTAGAGATTGAATCTTATTAATTATGTAAAACTTAATATTTTGTAAAAATATTATAAGCAGGAGGAAGATTACTTATAATACTTGATTCAATAGAATTTAAAACTTAATTTGTTAGTATTTTATTTTGAATAAATTATGATTTGTCATGACAAACCATCATTTTTATGGACGAAAAATTATTTTTGATGATTAAATATTTTTAATTAAAATACTTTCACTAATAAAAAAAAATTTAATTTTAACTTTTGTCTGTTACTTAAAAAATATTACTGAATGGAATAACTATTAAACAACAGAAACATGTTGATTTTATATTAATAATGTAACAACTCACTTTTTTTGTTGAGAAATGAGTGCTATTTTACATATATAAATTGATAAATTTACGCAGTAATAAATGAAAATTTAAGATTCAATCATCCATATACGGAACTATAAGATACGAGACTTACAAGATTCTTTATCTTACATTGCTATAATATAATTAAATTGACTCTACAAGATGAATTCTTACTGTCATTAAAGATTTTTTAAAGTTTTCATTCGACCTTGAACTTATTCTTGATCTGAATTAATCTGCATTGGGGAGTGTGAATTGGAGTGAACTTTACGGATTCAGTAAGGAAAAGTGACAGTGCCCACAATAAAGATATACACACTCAATCACTAAATTTTCTAAATCAGTTTATTCAGTAAACATTCATAATTCTTTATTTCAGTATTATAACTCAGAGTATAAACAGTTCCATAAATACCATCATTCAGTATTCAGTATCACAATTTAAACAGTAGACAGTTTAGTAGATATTAATTCAGTATTTCAATATTGTAAACTTCACTAATGACTTTATATTCCTTCCTATAAGTTTATGTTTTATTAAAAATATTTTTGCTGCACGATGTTGTTTCTGCCGGCGTTAACAAGGGCAGTAAAAATTTTCTCTACCCCGTGAATACCTTACAGTTCAGTTCACAGTTTATAATACACAATACACAGTTCATAGTTCTTATCGTTTCGCCATATCTGGCTCAAGCTGTGTCCACGGGTAGGATTTACCACAGTCAAACACCAAAAGGCAGCACACGCACACACCCCTTAGTGATATCGATTAGATAGATTTTCTCATCTTTTAAGGATTCTTATGTTATTATTTTACTAATCAGGTTCACCACTAGATAACCTACTCAGGTATGCACCTATTTATGTATCATATATACATTATACATCAACAAGCCTACACAACAAGCACAATACATACACTTTATACGTACGGTCATCGACTCAAATAAGTGTGTATATAAACATGCAATACATACAACATAAATGTACTTGTATATTCACACAAGACAAATATTGCAAAAGCAGACACATACAAATTGTTCACTCCTACACACACATGTTGCATAACCCACAATTATATATTTATATATGTATATATATGCATCACACACACCTAAAATTCAATTACTAGCATGCATGAAATCTGCATATATATATATATATATATATATAAGTAATAATATAAATACATAATTATACATTATACACAACATCATGTAGGTTTCCGATCATATGCAATTGTACACATGCAAATATGATGAGTTCACAGAACTCGTGGTGGAAAATATGAACAGTTTGTAAAGTTTATAAATAAGTCATTTCAACAAAAAAACAAGGTTCCATTTAAAAAATATGGGGGTATCTGAATGAGACTAACTCAATCCTTTACCTACAGTCGAATAAAAAAGTATTAGAATCTTTATTGGTTCGAATCTACAGTTTTCTCTAAATTTTGATTACTGTTTAGATAATTTCATTGTTTACAAACAAAAACACGTTGGTTAAATGACGAATACTTGTGGAAATAATTAAAATACAAAAGTGGATTGAGATTTACCCTAGACACGTGATCCTGGTCACCGAAATCACCACACCCTACCACATGCGTGTCCCTAGTTCACAACGTGCCACTGCTGAAGTGCTGCTGGACCACCGCTAGACCACCACGCACCGCTGCAGACCACTGTGAATCAATCATAATTCACCGCGAAATGTTTCACGCACACGTATTCGACATATACATGGAGAAATCGCTCCAGAAAGAGTTAGGAATATGCAAAATCGTGCAGCCAACAGTCGCGGATCACCTTCTTCTTCGGACACACATTGTCGCACGATTCTCTCTCTAGTTTTTAATCGAGCAGATCGTCAGTTGCTTACTCCTCGGCTCATCGTGAAAGCTGTACACCGTCATAGACCGCCTCGTGTAGGTCGGTGGTAGCCGTGACTCCTATTTCTTCTCTCTCTCTACAGAGATCTTTTTCTCTCTCTTCGCATCACTCTCCCTCTCCATGGCTCGCTTTCTCTCTATTTTTATAGTCGGAGAGAGGAGAGCCCATATCGGCCTTCCTCCTCTTCTTCAGTGGAGGGAAGAGGCGTACATGCCTCTGGTTGCCCTATTTTGTTTTTCTTTTTCCATTCTCAAGACAATATTATTTCATTTGCATATATTTTTTCTTCCTATATATTAAAACGACGTCGTTTTGGTTTTTTCTGTTTCTAAAAAGCAGATGGGTTGGGTTGTTTCTCTCAGGCTGGGTTGTTACAAATAAAATATGGAGAGAACACTACTTAATTAATTTAATTTTAAAGCTAATGTCTTGTCGTTTTAAAAATTAAAAAATCCAAAAAAATCAAGCCTTAATATTTAATTAATCCATGCATAAATAATTTTGACCAAATAATCCCATATATATACATAATCAAGAATAATATTTCAAGGTCAACAAAGCAAGCGATAAGTTGGGTTGGCAATTAAATGCTTAGCTCTTGGCAAAGTCAGGCCAAATTGTTCATTCATATCTAATTCATTTGGCCCCATGCCAAAAGGTAGCTCCCAATTAAAACAATGAACCAACCTTGCAACAATAAGTCGAACACTGGTTAACCCTAATTGAATTCCTGGACATCCTCTTCTTCCAGCTCCAAATGGAATAAGTTTAAAATTATGTCCTCTTATGTCTACATCGTCTTCTCCCACGAATCTCTCTGGTTTAAATTCTTCAACGTCTGACCATACTTCTGGGTCCCGACCCATTGCCCAAAGATTCACGAGAATCCTTGCTTTTCTCGGAATGTAATATCCTTGAATAGTTATCTCCTCCATTGATTCATGTAAAATTAGGGATGCAACAGGATGTAACCTAAAACTTTCTTTTATAACCATGTCTAAGTAATTTAACTTGCTCAGATCTGTCTCTTCTACCATTCTTTCTTTTCCAACTACATTGTCTAACTCTTCTTGGACATGCATCATTATCTTAGGATGTCTTAATAGTTCCGATAATGTCCATTCGATTGTCGTTGTTGAAGTGTCAAATGCTCCTGCAATCATGTCGAGTAATAAAGCTTTAATGTTGGTTCTGTCGATTTTATATGCATGCTCGGTTTGAAGATTCATATTCGTCGTCTTCGCTTGTTCTTCTGCTAAAGAAAGCATCATGTCCACGAAATCCATGTCTTGTTTTTTCATATCTTTGCTTCTGTTTTGTTCATGCTCATCGATGATCTTGTTGAAAACTTCATCTACAATCTTGTTAATTGCCTTCACCTTCCTCGATAGTCCCTGCATGATCGGCAATATAAGACTCTTTAGTAAGTAATAAAACAAATAAAAAAAATTAGAGTAAGTTTATAAAACAATAGTATGAGAATAAAACACTGAAAAATATTTATTGCTGTTCTTAAAAAATAGAAAAAATACAGCATATGTAAACTAAATATATAGATAAAAAATTAATTAAAGTTAAATATTTAAAAATCTGCTACCATTATAAAAATTTCAAACTAAATCTATAACTAACACTGCATTATCGAACTTTATTCCTACAGAAAGAACGTAAAACAAAAAACAAAAAGGAAGTAAGATGAAATAAGTTTTAACAAGTAATTTAGAGATAAAACGTTCATATATATATATATATGTAGGCATATAGTATATAATTACTTGAAGGTCAAATGGGGCAAGAGCTGGCATGAAATCTGCAATATTGACAGTTCCAATCAAGATCATGATTTCATGAACAAGTCCCTTTAAATCAAATCTATCATCTTTATCTCTTCCCAAAACCATCTTGTATGTCATATTTTCCATAAGCTCGCCAACTTTCCGGCTAATATTTACCACCTTCTTCTCTTCCGCAGCCTCTTTCAACGACTCCACCATTAAACCCACTTCCCTCCTCCTCATCGGACCGAACGATTCAACTTTCAACGCACTCAGCAACTGTAAAGTACACAGCTTCCTGGCGTTTCTCCAATACGGTCCGTACTCCGTAAAGGCTATGCCTTTTCCGTCGGTCATGAGCGCCGCTACTTGCGTTTTTGGCCGGCTGGCGAAAACGGTGTCGTGGGTCTTGAGAAAGAGCTCGGCTGCTTTAGGAGATGAAACGACGATGGATGGCACGTTGCCGAGATTTAATGACATAATGGGGCCGTAGGTTTTGGCTAAGTCGGTAAGAGTCCGATGTGGGAGTTTGCCCATCATGTGCAGGTTTCCGATGATGGGTAACCCTCGGGGACCTGGTGGGAGTTTCCGGCCATTTCTCCAGCGGTGAAAGGAGTATATGAGAGTTAGGAAGATACACAGAATGGCCGCTAAGGTTGAAGGAGACATTGTTGGTTGCCGGTTTAATTATACTGATGTTATGTATAATTAATACATATTTATAGATCTAGAGAAGTTCGCTGCAAGTTTCCATTATTGCTATATATACACACACACACTCGTGTATATAACTATATACATATATATACTGTTGAAAAATTTAACAAAGTCGTATTAGAATGGCTTTGAGGAATCGGCGGTCCACGATATACGGGTCTAACCAATAGTAGCCAATATGATCGTTGCCGTTGAAGACCACCGTGTCTCTGGATGGATAATCTCGTTATTGTTAATCAAAGGTTTTAGTTTCGAAATCCAATTATTAGACCTTGAAATAAGTTCAAGATGATTAACAATATTACAGATAAGATTGAATTTATAATATTAAATATAGATTTTTAATGGTTCAATTTTAATTTTTTAGGTTTAGTAATTTGTAGATATTAAAGTTTAATGGTTAAAAATTAGAGTTAAATGATTCCGAAAATATTTAAAAGAAATAAATGATAATTAAAGTACGAAAATAAAATAAATGTTCAAGATTTACATTCATTACACAATAATTTAAAGTACTAATTAGTGTTTCGAAATTTACTATTTTGAAAGAAATACAAAGAAATAAGGAAATGAACGGAAAATAAAGAAAACTAGCATTCTACTCGCAACTCTCTTGCAGATCGGGTTTTGGATCTTGATCCCCTTGATCTTAAATGGTTAAATAAGGGATGAGTTACACTACTTCAGTAAAAATATCACACTATATCACCGACAAAGAAATGAAAGTTGGTAAAAAAATAAAAAAAATAACTAATGGAGCACTAAATTAAGCAAATTTATTTATCAATAATAAAATCATTTACCGTACACTTACCGTAGTGAGATTTATAAAAAATAATTTATAGAAAATAATAACATTTTATATATCCTGATTCTGTATATAATTGACAACATAGCACATATCATACTTTTGTATTCAAATCATCAAACAACAATTATCCATTTTTCCACCAGCCAGCTGGTATCCATGGTGGTTCATAGGGATGTCCCCGCTACGCGTGAACCTTTTACTTTAACATTTTCAATTACAAGCCATCCCCATACCCCGTCCGGTATGAGTGCTAAATTACCAAACCTCAATATTTCATCCGGTATGAGGGTGAAGTGAGCCGTCCCCATACCCCGTCCGGTATGAGTGCCAAGTTACCAAGTCTCCATACCCTGCCTGGTATGAGACACGTTCATGGTAGGATCCCCTGTGTACCCAGTCCGCCCACCATTTCCCATGATGTCCAATAAGGTTGTTATTTCATCCAATCACTTAATCACACAAGTTTTCCGCTTACCTTTAACCTCTATTTTTCCAATTCAACCATAAACACGTAAAACAATAATACATGTATTTAAAGTTATAAAATAAAGCAATAAGGCACTATCATGCATTTAAATTATAATAACAATCAATAAAAATCAATAGAGAATAGTTTTCGGTTATAGCTCCATGAGCAATCCATAATTAATCATGAACATTTTCTAAATTGTACAAAATACCGTATTTATTATTAATTTGACTTCAATTCTATAATAGAGAATAGAGTGAGCGATTCTTACTCAATTTGATGACCGAAAGGCTAAACTGTTACTACGCCCACTAACGGTCCCCAGCTTCTCTGAATTTTTTTTCGGGAATCAAAACGTGCTATAAGTACCTACAAATATCTCAAACAAATCCTAAATCAGTCTCATGGCCCATTTTGGCCAATTTTGGAATTCCAGCACGGCTCCGTCGCCGCAAGTAAGTTATTTTCAACTGAATTCGACCGATTTCGCATCAATCCCTGCGAGAAAACATGTTAAGGGGTCTTGGTCGGCAAAAAAATACAAAAAACTGAAACTCATCGGCAGCTGGGCTCTCAAGTGCGGCGGCTCCTCCAGCTTACATTGTGGTTGGGTATTTTGCTCCGGTCAACCTGTAGAGAAGGAAATGGTAATCATAACAGTGGAAAAATTACGTAGAAAATTCTCTGCGGCGTCGCCGTCACCGAGCTTTGCCCATGTTTTCCAGCCAATCGGTCAGTTCTTTTGCTCCAATTTGGCTATGAGTGTGTTTAAAATTGAATTCTGAGCAAAGGAGAAATTTTTTACCTCTTTTGGCGGTCGAAAAGGGCTCCGGCGCAGCGGTGGGTGGCGACAGTCTCCTTTCCGGCGGCTAAGTCTTCTTCTCCGGCGAGGGGGTCTAGCAGCTAGGGTTAGAGTTTGGTGTGGATGGGGGTTATTTATATCCGTCCGCTTTTGATCTGGACCGTCTATCGCGTTTAATCTGCACCGTTTGACGCGATTAAATAGAGAGTGTGGATTATTCATCACGATCCAATCTATACCGTTCATCGCGATCCAATCTGGATCGTTCATCGTGGTCTAATCTGGACCGTCCGATCGCGTTTAAATTTGATTGTCTGATCGCGTTTGGAGAGGGAACGCATCTGGGTCGTTCGTGCGCACGGGAACGAATCTGAGTCGCTCGATTGCAGGTACGCAGATCGCCTGTGTGGCCTCCCATGTGGATCGCGTCAGTGTTTGCTGCCACGCAGTGCGTCCTGATTCGTCGGGACTGCTGATCGGATATCCTACGTGGCAAAACTTCTCTAAATTGCATTTTGACATTCGGTTTCTGATTTTTCTTTCAAAAATACCCTATGAACCCAAATTCACCAATTTTTCCCAAAATTATTTTTAATTTAATCCTCCATCAATTTTACTTCATTTTTACTCTAAATTAAAATTAAAAAATTGAAAAATTAAGAAATTATATTTATAAATAAATTTTAAACTACATTAAAAATTAATTTAGGGTATTATAACTCTCTCCCCTTAAAAGAAATTTAGTTCTTCAAAATTCTCTCTCACTCTCAATCAAACAACTGGGGATATTTGGCTCTGAAGTATGATTCTAGCTTCCATGTGACCTCTCTCGGTGTGTGATTCTGTCATAAGACCTTAACAAAGAGAATTTTCAATTGCAGAGTAAGCTGCTATTTTGGTCCACAATGTCAACCGCTACTTTTTCGTAGGACAGCTTCTCCTAGAGTGAAAAAAGCTCGTGGGCCAAGATCTGAGAGGGGTCCGGGTTGTACTTGCATAGCATGGACATATGAAACAGGTTATGGATCCTGAAAAGTTCTAGAGGCAGTGGCAGTCTACAAGCGGCGGTACCAATTCTGTTTAAGATTTCAAATGGTCCAATAAATCGAGGATTTGGTTTCTCTCTCTTGTCGAACCTACTGATTCCCTTGAAAAGAGTGACTTTAAGGAACTCTCGATCGCTTTTCTCAAATTTCAAGTCCCTCCTCCGGGTGTCCACATAACTTTTCTGTCTGCTATGAGCAGTATGAATGTTCTTCCTGATCTTAGCTATTTTGGTTGTAGTCTCCTCTACGAGATGTGAGTCGAACAGTTTTCTATCACCCACTTCTTCCTAACATATCGGCGATCTGCATGGGCGGCCATACAACGCCTCATACGAAGCCATGCCAATACTTGCTTGGTAGCTATTGTTGTAGGTGAATTCTATCAGGGGTAGATGGTCATCCCAATGGCCCTCGAAGTCAAGGACACAAGCTCAAAGCATATCCTCAAGTGTGCGGATTGTTATTTTTGACTGCCCATCGGTCTGAGGGTGGAATGCAGTACTAAGAGACAGTTTCGTCTCCATGGCTTGCTGAAGGCTAGACCAAAATCGAGAAATGAATCTGGGGTCCCTGTCGGACACTACTGTCACTGATACTCCATGTAATCTGACTATTTTCTGGATATATATTATTGTCAACTTGTTCAAGAGATCGGTCATCCTGATAGCCAAGAAGTGGGAGGACTTGGTAAGCCAGTCAACAATTACCCAGATGACATCATGTCCTGAGTGTGCCTTAGGTAATCCTGTCACGAAGTCCATGGTGATATATTCCCACTTCCACTCTGGAATTGGTAATGACTGAAGTAGCCCACCTGGGCATTGGTCTCTGCCTTAACCTGCTGACATAGCAAATACTTA